GTACAGAAAAAATGAAAAAAGGAAATTGTTCGTAATTATTGTCTACAACTTTTATTTGAATCATTTTCCGATCCGAATCGCCATTTTTGAGCTATCGACAAAAAATGCATGACGCGTTCGAGTATTTTTCATTTTTCATAAAATAGTCCTTATTTCAAAAAAATCTAGTTTGACTGAAGTTGGTCGTACAAAATTTTTGTACAGACCTTTTTTGTGTAGAATTTAATTCTCTACAACTTTTGCGTCTTCACTTTTTCCCCTAAAAGTGAAACTTTTTTAGTTATTGGCGAAAAATCGTTTTTGGACCTTTTTTGCACCCTAATTTTCGCAACGACCATGATACGGGGGTGGGCTTTTTGTACCTTAATTTTAACCTCAAAAGACACCCCTCCACAAAGTGGCAACATTTCTAGTATTTTTTCCTATTGTTAGTCAAAATTTCGGCTCATTTGACTGGGCTACTAAGAGTTGGTATGTACATGCCAATGTACAAACATACATCACGCATAACTGAGACGCTGACATTGACTCACCGTTCGCGCTTTACGCCAAAGCATGATGGTTTGCACGGTGTCGCTCTTCTTCCAGTGCATCTGCTTGCAGGAACCGGCGAGAATCGGAGGCGATCGCTGATAAGAACGTATCAGCGTAATAATGCGTATAATATTAATTAGAATAATATTGAACACTGTACTCGAATGTGTTAAGCGGTTCAATAACATTCGCACTCATTCTGCATAATGCTCGATCTATTTGGTCTCATTCAGACAACCTGGTGAAGACCCAATGAGGATATCGGAGGAACCATTTATCATCGGGCAATTGTGTCAAACATTAGATCGCAATATCATAGCGAGTAGCGACGATAACGCGAGGCAATGAGAATTGAATATGGCGAGATATTCACGATAAATTGCGCAGAAATGAATGGTGATATCAAAGAAATAAGCTCTTCGATTATCGATTGACAGACAAGAGGAATGATAAAAGTATAAAACACTCTACAGATTAAGTTAACGCAGTCGCTAGAAAACTGCAATGAGTATAACCGTCGCATTAAGTCTTATCAATATTCCCGCGTAAAATCGCTTACATCAATTACTCTATGTGTGTATTTGCGTTACACTACTTTCGCCCATTTATCTTGTTTAATTTTTAAACGGGCGAAAGTAGTGTAACGCAAATACAAACATAGAGTAATTGATGTAAGCGATTTTACGCGGGAATATTGATAAGACTTAATGCGACGGTTATACTCATTGCAGTTGTTGCGTCACTTGCCATTCTGACGACACATCGCCTTTATATGACTCACCCATTTATTTATTTTGTGCACATCACACCTTGCTGAATAAAGGACCACGCACTAATCATATGGAAAAGTGGCCCCGGTCAAAATAAAAATAACCTATGAAAATATTCTTTATGAGGTACTGATCAAAAGTCTCAATAGCGTCAACCTTCAACTACAACTAGTTTTCATACTGTCAACTCATAAAGATTGCTTGAAACCACTTTATTTTAGAAAATCATAAAATTACGCTTCCTTGCTCTCTCTCTCTATCTCTCTTTCTCTCTCTCTCTCTCTCTCTCTGTCATATTGAAGGTGCCTATATATAGTACATATCCCAATAAATAGAAGTCCCCTACTATATTACATGTAAAATAAATAAAATACGGAGGACTTCGTAATTGAGACTCCGGCCAACAATAATTATATTTTCATATGTATGTATGTATTTATATTTTATATGTATTATTTAATGCATGCAATTAATTGTAATTACATTACTCACTCTCAACGCTATCCAAGATCTGTCTCTTATAC